GGGGCCTTAACGACGTTTTTCAAGGTGGGAAGTTGCTGCAATGTGTGCAGCTACTCACATACAACCTCCGGGCACGGGAATTACTCCTCTAGCGCGACTGAGCCCGACCTTTGCCTTTAAATAATTCTACAGTATATAATTCTGACCATGAGACCAGACGAAGCGGCGGTCCAACTCTGGCAACTTCCCTCTCCAAATACCTCTAAAGAAGGCAGCTGTCGAGAGACTGGGGAGGGAGGGGGGACCTATTGGGAAGTGTCTCAATTCTGATGGTTGGTATGAGTCATATTAGGACCTCTAAAGGGAAGGGGTCGTAAAAATTTCAAAATATGTGCAGCGCACACTTGGCCCTGACCCACCCCCTGCGTCATCATAACTGAGGTCCTGAATTCACTACGAAAATCAAGAATTCTTTTCAGAGCATGTTCTCCCGGTTGAAATTCCCGCTTGGGTGTTTCCACTGGCCTCATTCGCCAGTTTCGTCTCACATTTGGCCATTCACTGCCACGACCGCACATCTGCTGCAATTTCATGTGAAATTATGTGAGTTTAAGAAACGTTTGGATCGTAAGTTTTGACGTTTCTCCCTGCCGTGCCGACTAACAAAGACATTTGGAAGAGCGCTGGAACGGGTGATTCATATGGACACAGCAAACGGAATGTCATCGTTTGCATGACGGAATTCCATCGGGATGACTTTGGCCTGTTCAAGTGTACGAAATTTTCGTATACCAGGCCACCTGAACACAGGCAGGACCTCTTTGATCGCTTTTCTAGCAAGGCTGCCAAGACAAAACTCAGTTTTTTATCTTCGCACACGTACCGGAATCTTCTTTGGGGCGCTATCACAAGATACGGGGCATTGTGATGGCAACGCACTCGAAATCGCGCAAAGCATACCTTTTCGTTGGAATCGGAACAAGTCAGAAGAGGATGGACTCCTGTTTGCGTGGGCAGTTTTCATTTCTTTCCAAAGTTCCTGCCCCTCCCTAGCTCTTGTTTCTGAGGATGCCCCCGAAACCTTGCGATAGCGCCTTTTTTCAGTCTGGCCGAGACTCCACTGAGGAGGCAGCCCTAAACCATCTCTTCCTAGTAAAGAGTCATAGATAGTATTACAGCAAAGTTGGTAAATCCTTAGAAAATGCAATTTGATTCAAAATTGAACTGGGCTCTCGCTCAACCCGACAGTGTCCCTTCAGCTACATGACATCCTGATTTTCAGGGAAGAAAGGTGTCACAACTTATCGATTCATCATGGATCAGCGGAAGAGGAAGGTTGGTGATTTCAAGATTGTTTTGGGCTTTCCAAAGTCGACTTGCGTTCCTCACAATAGCGCTGTTTTACTTCAGAGCGAAAGAGAGACGATTTCCGGTCAACACGAAGTGAGCATCCAACATGTACTAAAGGAGGAGCGGCCTGCAGTAGTACTGGGAGGTAAGTATGCTTTTTCCTTCAAGAGACTTGAATTGTTCACTAGCGGAACCGCAGAACGCATAGCTTTATGTGAAAAGTCGTTGGACAAAAATATCGCTTTATATTCAGTTCCTTATCTTGAATACCTTAAAGTCCACTCTTCAATTGTGGCTGCAGGTGGAAGAGAGGTATCCAAGCCCACAATTTTTCAAAGGCAGCGGTTATGAAAAAATGAAGAAGGGTTTAGTGTGACGTGGTGGTGCTCAATGGTACACCAGTGGCGAAAAAAGCAGAAAAATTCGTCAAAAAAACGGGACCCCCTTTTTGGCCGTTGGTTTCCACTCATGAACAGGTAACAGCTCAGAAAGTGAGTGGCACCATTGCCAAATCTACGCTTTAATCGAGATGCTTCATTTGCGCCGCTGCTGGCCACGCAGCTCGTCCAAATCAACAAGTAAACTGGTGGGCGGATCGCTTTTGGGGCGGAGCGCTTTCGAAGTCCTGCTCAGCAACCAGCGCACCTTTTGTGTGAAAGCGCCACACTTCGCCTCCCTGGCAGCCAAGTAACTGCTTCGTGGTGGGGCATATTCTTCTCGCGATGCGCATCGCTATTTGTCGAATTCGCTTCCTTCAGAACGCGACCGTGACGCAAAAGTGCGCCGCAAGGGCCCTAGGGCCCTGTATCGGGCGCTGTCGGCGTTGCCGTGCTGGCCAATCCATACGCATACGTAGCGTCGCCCCCTCGCGTGCAGAATTTTACTTCCTCGCCACTAACTTCCTTACCTGCATTTCTTGTCTCGATTTCGAACACGCGCCGATTCGATCCTCGATAAGGCTGCTGATCGATGCCCGGACTCCGTGCCTTGAGTCTACCCATCTGCCATACGACTGCGTTCCTAAAACTTTCAGCGAGATTGGCCACGACCTAACTAGAAAACAGGATTATATTATGAAGGACAGCACCTTCCGGATCTGTCGAGCTCTGCTGCGACATCGACTTCGGCATTCAAACCCTGCATTATCAGTTTTGAACAAGCGTAGCATAGTTGTTTTAAACAAAGGGTTTACGGTGCCAATGACATAGCCTATCGTTTTGCACCCCTTCCAAGCATGTCTTTTTTAGGCCTTTGTTGGGTCTCTAGAAGCTGAAAGATCTGACCCTCCCTCCGCCCACCCCTCCCACAAAAGGTGTGCTGTTTAGTTCATGACAACACTGTTTAATTTGGCATAGAGCTCCATATTTTCATCACTGCTCGGATAGAAAGCTATTTTTAAAACTTAAGGGCTTATTCTTTGAAACTTTCGAGGTGTAACCAAAGTTCAGTCTCGCTTTGATGACTAAGACCCGTGGCGGCTGGTGTGCACCTATTTCAGTTCCCTGCTCCTCAGGTCAGATCATTTTAGAATTAGGACAAATCTGATTTTCGTAGTCAATTTCTCAAACCTATAGCTGTGAATGCTTTAAACCTCTGAGCCAAACATAGATCATGTGTGGAGCACTAAGCCTCAGCCTGACGTCCTCAACCCTATCCTAACCATAGATCTCAGGGATCGCGCAGCTCTCGTGACCTGACTTAGGAGTAGAACTGGACGTCTCCCTCGTTAGAGCAAGCAAGATAGCGATTAAGAAAAGATTTGATCCATGGGCCATGGATGTGTTAGTGACGCCTCATGCCATTACCCCATCTTGGCCTGATTTCTATAACTCGTATTTACTTATAATGCCATAAGACTCTTTTCAGATTCACTTACGCCAAAAATCGCGGACCGTTTCCACATCGACAAACTACGTATGCAAACTGGAGACAATGGTCATTGGAGAAGAGCAAATTTTGGAAATTCCCTCCCAATCGCTGGAACTTTGACAAACCTCACTTACTGGAAAAACTGGAACGTTGCTCCCCCTGGAAGGAATTTGTTAATACCGTTCCGATTTTCTCAACCCTTCTGTTGACGTCTTAAATTAGTGCATTTTTTGTATGCACTGGCATGCACAGTGCGGCTATGAGAGATGAAAAATCGGGAATATTCCCAGAAGAATTACGATGTGGCATTCATTAATCACAATGAGCTCCATGCACTACGACTGCATACCTTCCATGAACTTCAGATGCTCGCACTAGGATCTTCCTTGAATCTTCCTGTACACCACTTGTGATTCAACCGCTTTTCCGAGCTTCACCTCCTCTATTGCCCCTCGAACCTCACCTTTTGTTCAAAGCGTGATAGGACCAGATGTCGCTGCTACTTACTTGTGGTCTGTCCCTGTGGGGGTGCTGCTCGTTAAGAATCTTGTCGTAGTACCTCCTTTCTCTCACCTTCTCCTGCGGTTTCCTAAGGATGGAAAAGTCACCGCTCTCTGCACCCCTCACGGTGACATTCCCCAGGATCTCGTTTTTTGCCAGCTCTTGTGCTCAACCTCCTCTGTTTTACCCTCGCTGGCACTTCATCTCCCCAAAACCACGCCTTGTTTCCCAACCATTCTCGGCCACGAACTCTCGCCCTGTGACCCCTACGGTACTTTGTTACCTTGCACCAGGTTTGCTGGATTGCTCCGCCCATGGCTGGGAGACCTGCAAACTTTGTTGAGGTCGTCCTTCACGACTAGTGCCAGCTTCAACCAACAAGTTCTCTGCTTCCGCCTTCGGTATCGTATAGTTTTAAAATTTTCCCCTACATTCTAAACTTGACTTGCACGTGCGTCCAAACTTTCTTGACAATTCCTCAGGATCCCTCCTTCACTCCCATTACCGTAAATGAAATTCGAACGGTCCTTCATTCTCTCTCCATTCACTATTGGTTTTCAAGTGTAAAAGTATTTCTGCGATGCTTCCACATTTCCGGCCTGCAGCGGGTCACACAAATAGTCCTGAATCAGGGAAATAGACTTTCTTACCTGGACCTGAGGGTGGAGGGTGGAGCAGCTCCAGGGTGACAATCAAGTGCAAAAAAATGGAAAGGGTGTAGTATACCTACCGATAGAATAAGTATAGACGTATGACTTGTCCTCAGTGTTGGAGAGCCCAAAGGAGCGCTTACAAGTGCTGAATAAGGCAATAAGTAGTACCACCCCCCCCCCCCCCAAATCCATTTTCACCTCTTTAGAATAAGTGAGAGGAAAATATGACTGCTATGAACATGTTTCAGGACCTCACTACGATCGACGTTTCCCCTCGAATCACTGCGACTACACAAATCGAACTCAATCCAACCACAACGCCCTCCTAGGGCAAAAAGCGAATCGTAGTCCGTCAGAAGGACGTGCGATTTCCCCTGTGATGTTCTCCTACAAAGTGCTCATATTGTTTTGTGTCTTTTCTCCGTCCGATGTGCTTTCAATAAACGTTCCTCCTCTTTGTGATCGCCGGCGACAGCTCACGCGCCGCCTTTTGTACGTTCGCCACGGCAATTCAATCACTTTACAGCCGGATTCATAATCGCTGCCATGGCGCAGTTCTTTGCAACACAAGCGAGCGAATCAAATCGATTCTCCACCCCTACTTCACAGCGCTGCCTACCTCTCATTTACCTCTCTTCGTTCAATTTCTTCATGTCACTGGTTTGATAGCTTTGGCCTTCTCTGCTCCCAGAGAACGTCAAAACCCTCGTCTGTGCCTCCATGCTTTCCCTTTTTAGAACCACGGCTTATTGGTCGAACTGTTTTATTCTTCTGTGTTATGCGAGGTTGATAGTTTAGCCTTTCCTAGCCGGCCTGACGGTTCGAGCTTTTCATCATCTTCAGAGGCCTGTAGATAACTCGAAAATTTAGGTTTTGTAAGCTACTCGATCAAGCCCCCCCTCCGCTCCCTTGCGTTAAATTTGTACAATTTCCATCAAAACCCGGACAAAGAAAACACCAAACACAACTTCTAGCAACGAGTTATTGCACAGTGAACTGGTTGTGTCGCAGAGGAAATTGAAAGGTAATTCTCGTCGCACTTAAGTGGGTAACTCCAACATGGTAATGCATCATCATTATTGTGCAAAATCCAATCTCCTCTGTAATGGGCAATGGTTCTTCTGTGAGAAAAACCCCAAAGTGAACAGTCGGGGCGAGACCTTGAGTGGCGCCCACCAAGAAACGGTTCCCGATCTTCGATATTAGAACAACTTCTTTTGAATAGTTCTCTCTATCAACTTGATTCCCTTGAACGAAACAGGAACGCACAGCACGTGAACTCCCCAGGTAGACGTGCGTTTCTCCTCCTGGGGTCAGGTCACCACAGTTGCGCGATCATTGAAGCTTAAGGTTAAGTTTGGGTTTAGACTTAGGTTAAGGCTTATGCTTACACATTGGCTTATGCCTAAGCCTATGATTGGGCCTAGGCTTAGTCCTAAGCTTGCTCCGAGCGAATGAACGGCGTCTCAATTTTAGGTGACCTGACCCCAGGAGGAGAAACGCTACGCACCCAGCTTCCCAGGGTCCAAACATTCACCGAGGAA